TCCTCAGAGCCATACAGGTAGTATATATATATTGTGTGTGGATGACAGTCACATAACACACAGAGAGCTGCATATGTGGCTCACAGTGGTAAATAGGTTGAGAACCACTGCTCTATGCTCTCCCATCGGCATAAAAAAGCCCATTCCCACAAGTAGTAGAAGCTATGGCCTGGTCTACACTACAAACTTAGGTCGACATAAACTGCGTTAAGTCAATCTAATAATGTGTCCACACTACCGAGTCCCTTCCGCCGACCTAAGTGGCCTGTAAAGTCGACTTCTGTACTCCACCTCTGTGAGAGGCATAGCACTTGATTCGACATCCACGGGTTGACATGGGGATAGTGTAGACACGACATGTGTAATTCGAATGAATTGGCCTCAAGGAGGTGTCCCACAGTGCTCCGCTGTGACTGCTCTGGAGAGCATTTTCAACTCCACTGCATGTCAGCCAGGTACACAGGAAACAGATTAAAGCCCTGAGAACTTTTGAATTTTCATTTCCTGTTTGATCATTGTGGAGAGCTCTCCAGCACAGTTGATCATGGAGACGCAAATGCGCAAACGCACTCCAGTATATAGTACACAGGAGGTGGTGGACCTTATTGCTGTGTGTGGGGAGAAGAGTCTCTGCAGGCAGAACTCTGAGCCAGCAGAAGAAACACTAACATTTATGCCAAGCTAGCATGGGGCACAGAGGAGAAGGGCTACACCAGGGACACACAGCAGTGCTGTGTGAAAATAAAGGAGCTTTAGCAAGCGTACCAGAGGCGAACTGTCATTCTGGTTCTGCCCCACAGACATGCCGCTTTGTGGAGCTGCATGCGATTCTCGGCGATGACCCCACCACTACCCCAAAACGCTCCATGGATACCTCCTAGGAGGGCCAGGCGACCTCGAGTAACAACAAGGAGGACATTGTTGACAGGGAAGAGGAGTAGTAGTAGGAGGAGAATGGGAGGCAGGCAAGTGGAGGATCCATTCTCCCTGACAGCCAAGAACGGTTTTTAACCCTGAAGCCCATTCCTTCACTGGACCAGTTGGCAGCCGAGCATGATGCTGGGGAAGGAACCTCCAGTGAGTACACATTTCCAATCAAACTGTAGGGGTTACACGCTATTATTTTTTATGTTGAATCTGAACAAAAAAGTAGGTGTACTGGGTGTCGGTGGCCACTCCAGCTATGCAGAGGGTGCTCTCCGAAAAAGACTGTTTATGTGCACAGGGATGGCCTGGAAATCCTCCATGGAGATCTCTAGGAAGCTTTCATGGAGGTACTCTGCAATCCTTTGCAGAAGGTTTCTGGGAAGGGCTGCCTTATTTAATCCACCATGGTAGGACACTTTCCCACGCCACTCCAGTATTAACTCTGCTGGCATCATTGCAGCACACAGCATTGCAGCATAAGGACCAGATCTGTACCCAGACACTTGCAGCATCTGCTCCCTTGCCACCTCTGTTACCCTCAGGAGAGTGATGTCTCATAGGGTCACCTAAGGGGAAACGGGGGAAGTTTTCAATGCTAGCCTTTAAACTGCAAACAATTCAACAAGTATCCGCCCCATTTGTTGAAATCTGGGTCACACAACCACGCTTTCCCAAATGTGCCATGGTTGTGGTTGGAAGGGATCACCGTGTATTGCAAGCAACATTGAAAAAAATGGGGGCATGAGGGTGGTGGTTTCCTGTTTGTCTCCCTTCCTCATCAACCCGGTGCCACTTTTGTAAAAAACCAAACTATTTGTGGGGCTTTACACTGGTGCCGGTTCTCAAACACCATCCAGGTTGCTAGGGGAAAGGAGGCTTTTCTCAGGTTCCAACCTGTGATCCCAAGGATGTTGTCACAAAAGCAGCAGGACAAGACATCTGGCCCATGCCTCGTGGCTTTACTCATCATGGCTGGAACAGCAAACTGACTCTTGCAATAGCCAGCAGTTGTGATTATGTTGTGGCTTGCGGTGAAGTGTATTGAGGGATGTTTTTTATTAAAAAAAAAAAAAAATAACCTTGCGGCAGAAACAATGTATGCACTGTCAATGTTACCCTTGTGCTTTGCATTCCTTGCAGCTGAAACCTTGTCTGTCGGCGCATCCTCCACACCAGGACATAGACTTCCCCAGATTAGAAGGTGGAAAAAGAAGACTTGGGAGGACATGTTCAATGAGTTAATGCGCGCCTCCGAGAGTGACAAGACGGAGCTCAGAGCATGGAGGATCACACTGTCTGAGAACCTGGACATGGACAGGGAGGACAGGAGATCATGCAGGGAACAAGAGCGTGCCACGCAGGAAGAGATGCTGCGGATTATGAAGAAGCAATCAGACATGTTGAGGCGTCTGGCTGAGGTTCAAGAAAGGCAGCTGGATGCTAGAGTCCCTCTGCAGCCTATGCTGAACCTGCTGCCATCATCGTCCAGTTCTACCTCCTCCTCCCACAAATGTCCTATGAGGCGGGGGGAGTGGGAGAGTTCAGTATCCCTTGCACTCAACACCAGGGAGGGTACTAGGACCAGAAGGTGCCCATTCCCACACCTTTGATTGTTACTGCCGTGCATCTGTAAGCAAGCTTCCCTTGTTTCTCCCCCCACAGTATCATCAGCCCTTGTGCCCCAGGTTATCTTACTTTTCTTTGCTGTCTCTGTGTGTTTGTGTGCATAATAAAACATAATGGCTGGAGGGGAAAAGGCTCTTTATTCATTAAACACATGGTGGTTGGTGGGAGTGGTGCTTACAGGGGAGAAAAAGCACTGGAGGGGACAGTTTGGTAAGGAACAACACAGATAAGCGTCACATTACTCTGGCTCATTGCTGAAACTAGTTTTCAAAGCCTCACAAAGCCGCAGAGCCTCTCGATGTGCTCTTCTTACTGCCCTGGTGTCTGGCTGCTCAAAATTGGCTGCCAGATGATCTGCCTAAACTCCCCACCCCAGCGGAAACTTTTCTCCCTTTGTTTCACAGATATTATGAAGCACACAGCAGGCAGCAATAACAATAGGGATATTGCTTTCACTGAGGTCTAACCTAGTAAGCAAACAGTACTAGCAACCTGTTAAACATCCAAATGCACATTCCACCACCATTCTGCACTTGCTCCACCTATGGCTGAACCGGTCCTTACTGCTGACCAGGCTGCCTGTGTATGGCTTCATGAGCCATGAGAGCAAGGGGTAGGCTGGGTCTCCCTGGATCAGGATTAGCATTTCAACATCACCAACGATTATTTTGCAGTCTGGAAAGAAAGTCCCTGCTTGCAGCTTTCTGAACAGACCGGAGTTCCTAAAGATGTGCGCGTCATGCACCTTTCCCAACCATCCCACGTTGATGTCAGTGAAACGGACCCTGTGATCCACCAGCGCTTGCAATACCATTGAGAAGTACCCCTTGTGGTTTATGTACTCTTTGGCAAGGTGGTCTGGTGCCAAGATAGGGATTTGCGTTCTATCGCCCCACTGCAGTTAGGGAACCCCATTGCTTCAAAACCATCCATTATGTCCTGAACATTGCCCAGAGTTACTACCCTTCTTAGAAGAAGCCTGTTAATGGCCTTGCAAATTTGGATCACAACAGATCCCATGGTAGATTTACCCACTCCAAATTTATGCTCCAATGATAGGTAGCAGTCTGGGGTTGCAAGTTTCCACAGAGCTATCGCCACTCACTTCTCCACTGTCAGAGCAGCTCTCATTTTAGTATTGCTGCACTTCAGGGCTGGGGAAAGCTCAACACACAGTTCCTGGAAAGTGGCCTTATGCATTCAAAAATTCTGCAGCCACTGCTCATCATCCCATAGCTGCATAATGATGTGGTTCCACCAGTCAATGCTTGTTTACCGGGCCCAGAAATGGTGCTCAACAGTGTCAAGTTGATGCATGACTTTTGCCAGCAACTGCAAATTGCTCTGCTCTAGGTCTTCCAGCCGGGCTGCTTGCGTGGCATCACATGGTTCTGCATGGGGGCTCCTGGCTGCGTAAATGCTGCAAGATAAGGTGTGAGGTGTTTGTAATGCTCACAACAACTGTGTACAGCTGAGCGGGGTCCATGCTTATCGTGCTATGGTGCCCATGCGGGTAACCCAGGCTTATGAAAAAAGGTGCGAAAAAGGCTTGGTTTGTTTGCCGTTGATTTCCGGGAGGGAGGGAGGTAAGTGCATCATGGGAGGCTAACCCCATGTTTCCATAACCACCCGCACCAATGTTTTGGTCCCATAAGACACTGCAAGCCCAACCCAAAATTCCACTCGGCTACGTGCACTTTGGGATAGCTACCCACAGTGCAGTGTTCCATGCGTCGATGCAAGCCCTGCTAGTGAGGATGCACTCCGGCGACACAATGAGCGTAGTGTGGACACGCAAGATCGACTTGCTTAAATCGGAGGCTTGATGTCGACTTACATAAAGTCGACTTAACTTTGTAGTGTAGACATGGCCTATGTCAGCGGGCGAAGCCAACATAAGTGGTAGTACAGATGTAACCTCAGTAAAGTTCTTCTAATTATTAAAGTAGAGTAATACCTGAGGAGAATACAATATGTCCTTATATGAGGCTTTCTTATTAAGGTGAGAAACCACTAATACAGTGAAATCACTAGCATTGCTCTAGCATCCTGACGGTGCCACTAACAATCTCACTCTTCAGCAGGACAAGGACTGCTAGCTGAATACATTGCTAAGGCCCCAGTCTTGCAAACAGTCCCTGCAGACAGACCCTTGCACCCATGTGAAATTTCACGGACCTCAGTGGGACTCAGCATGGATTGTCTGGCAGGATCAGGGCACTTGAGGTTCAACACCTTGCAGGATCCTCAGCTCCAAGTTTGGGGTTGAAGGTGCCCAGCACCTCACAGGCACGCTTGGCCTTCTGCAGGCACGAAGCCTAAATGAGCATACTGAATTGTTGTTCAAAATTGAGTTATGTGTGATAAAAAGGCAGCGTTGCCTCATTAGTACATTATAGCAATGAAATTGACGTTTACAGTGAGAAAGCAAACAGGTGACTCAGATAACCCAGGAAAGATGCTTTTGTATTACTTAAAATGGAAAAATAAAACTGGATTTCATATTTTTACATCATATAAAAACCAATGCATTTATAATAATAAAAGCCATATGGATAGAAATCTTCACTTGAATGTAAGTAGCTATTGGAGTATTAAATTACTGATTTGATGGCAAATGAGTCACAAAATCTAAAAGAATAGTCATTTCCAATCTAGTCTCTAGCTTATACTTACAAAATGATAATGTGGAAGTTCATCTTTTATAGTTATAGTCTGTTAGATTATGGCAATAAGTAAATACCTTAAGTTAAAATATACTGTAGGAAAATACAGATAAGACATAGAAATGTTATGGTAATACTGTTTGTGTGAGACATTAATACTTACTGATCATTTCTATAAGTACGGATTAGTTCATATTAACAAGAATAATAGCAGTGAAAAAGTGACAGTCTCACCGGGGGGGGGAGGAGACCAAGGCAGTCACTTTATATATAACTTAATGGGATAACATTGCCTAAAACCTATTTTAAAGAAAACATGACAGGTGTCTGTCTCTCAGCAGTGTCTGTTACACTAAGAAAAAGCTTCCTCTACGATGCAGTGGAATGAATAAAGTTCAGATGGTTCTTGTGCCTGCATTTACTGTGCTCAGCTGTGACAGTAAAACCAATTAGTACTATCAAGATGTTTTCTGTTAACATTGCTAGGGGTTTCCTGACAATAGTAGCACCAAAGTATGGATCGTGAAATTCAGTCCTCCCACAAAGCCCGATGCCAAATTTTAAAGAATGGGAGCCTGAAGTCAGGCTGTCAGGTTCATAGCCAGCCTCCACTGAAATGGGGCAGCAAGCTCCTTCAAAACTCCCAGCACTATAGAATTTAGGGACCCTAGCTTTAGGGTGTCATTTTTTAAAAATAACCCATATCTGAGTATTCAGGTGGAAAGGGGAGATGAAACTCATCCCCTACAATCTACCGCCAGGGTGGAGGGCTGCTATGGGCTGGGTTGGTTGATTGCGGTACCAGAGCCAGTAGATCTGAACAAACATGGATTTGTGGTCCTTCCCTTGGTCTTGCTCTCAGATCACACGTGGCCCGTCCCCAAAGTGATCTTCATCCCCAGCCAACATGGAGACCAGATCCACAGCACACCAGGGATTAACAGGCACTTCTGCATGGTTGCTCAGCCTGCTGACTCTCCATGCAGCCCCTATGTGGGGTTTAAGTGGTACCAAAGGCCATCTGCCAGCCCTCTAAACCAGGCCTGAATTCCACCCTGCTGGAGTATTCTGTCTTGAGGTATGCTTTCTTTGGTTTTATTTGTAAATGTGCAATAAAAAAATAGAATATTTACACCATTAAAAATTAAATTTCAGTGTCAAGGTTTTATGAAATAAAATTCAAATGTTTTCTATGTGCAACAGATTAATTATTTTCTTCGGATACCAGATACAAAACTGTTTTCAATACACAGAACAATAAACTTATTGCTGCAGCTGTAAGGCTTTTGATCCAGAAGTTTCCCAGTTGTCAGTGGTGATGCTTGTCCCATAACTGCCATGTCAGCTGTCCGCCAAGCTTCACAGTAGTTGCTAACTAGCCGGATCCCATTTGCAGTTGAACCATGCCATATGATTTTATGTGGCCTAAACAGTAATGTTTAAAGTTATTTTCCTGAAACAATCCTTTATCTGTACATTAAATCTTATGCCTAAATCTATAGCAGCCTGTGTCTCTGCACCCCTGCTGTAAATTCACTTGAAGCAATAAGAGCGTAGAAAGCAAAGTGAGGCCGAAGATGCGGATGGAAAGAGAGGAAATTGGGACATCAGAGGTATTCTATTCCCTGTTCTTCTCTCCATCCTGTCCCTATCAGCAATCAATAGGAGAGCTGGAATGGAAGAAGAGGGGAATGGAGGAGAAGGAACAGAAAGGATGAGAGGACAAGGGGGAAGTTAACCTTTGTCACATTTCTAGCAGCCCAGGGCATTTTGATACTTATCAGCTAATAAAACTACTTTTCATGTAATACAGAAAATGCAGTGTGAACTTACCAAGATGGATCTGTCATGACATTTCTCCCATCAAAGGAGTATATTGGACTCTGGATGTTGAACTGTCCCCCGCTGCCAGTAAACACAGACTCCCAGTTGTTGAAGAGTATTTCTCCCTATTGAAATGTTAAAAGCCATCTTTTACTAAGGCTGTTATCATATTATGAAATGCTAGAGGTATTCTATAAATCCAAAATCTCTTCTACTTCTCAAAATACTCATGATTAAGGCTAAGATTTTTTCACGGTTACGAACTGGTCACAGGCAATAAACAAAAATTCACTGAGCCCGTGACTTGTCCGTGACTTTACTACAAATAACCAGGGGGAGGATTGGGTATGGGGGAGGAATGGAGTCCCATGGGGGGGTGGGGAATGACAGGCCGAGCCCCGACTTCAGTAGTTGCAGCGGGGGGCGCAACCACAGAGGGCACACAGCCCCTGCTCCAGAGCTCGCCCAGCTGCGGGACGGGGTGTGCGGCCCCCATAGGCTGGGGCAGACGGCTCTGGCTGCAGACCTGCCACGCCCAGGATGTGACGGGTCTGAGGCACACGGCCCCGGCTGCAGCCCCCGCCAAGGCCTGGAGGACACGGGTCTGGGGCGCACGGTCCCAGCTGCAGTTCCCGGCCCCGGCTGCAGCCCCCCAGAGGAAGCCGGGGGCTCTGGCTGCAGTGTCCTGGTTCCAGCCATCCCCAGTTGCAGGGCTTTGGCGCTCAGTCCCTCCTCCTCCTCCTGAAGGCCTAGAAGTCACGGAGGTCTGGTAAAGTCACGGAATCCGTGACTGCCATGACTAAATCGTAGCCTTACTCATGATTCCATCAGCGTGATCTTTCACGTCAATCTCTACACTTTATTCCTAGGAGACCTCATTTCAAACTACCACCCTTATACTGCTAGCTTTCACCTCTACCTCTCTGTCCCAGGCCTCTCTCTTTCCTTTCACAATTGTCTCTGCCTGACTCACATTCCAACCCTTTTCCTGTATCATCTACACCTCTCCTGTCCACCTTAACTCACAATCTCAGAGTAACTTTCGACTCTTCTCTCTCCTTCACCAAATGTAAAGCTTCTTGTTTGAAAGGCCTTGTACAAGTTAGTTCCTGCATACCTCACCTCTCTGCTCTACCCTTTTTGCTACTCCCCTGCCTTGGTCTCATGCTGAGTACACCTGTGTCTGTGTCTGCAGTAAATTCATTTTTCTTATAGCTGGAATGACTAAATTAGAGAAGTGGAGTTAAAGAGGTGTTAAAACTGTAGCAGGCAAAGTCAGAGGGTGGGATTAATTTCACTCATCCTTGTGATGGTCCAAAAAGTTATTTGAAAATTCTCACATTCCTAATAAAATCTGACTTCTACCTGAAGAGAAAGCTGAAAACAATTTTTAATGGTTAATACAAATTCTGGTAAAACCAAAATCGTTCTAGGGCCCTTACAACTGGTTAATTGTAATACAAGATGACTGTATTTTTGAACTGCCTTTGAGTATTCATTTCTCATCCCAATCACAAGATACATTTTTATTTTGGAGACTCCTCCTCCCAGAGTTTCGAATTGCAGGGGGTTTCGGAACGGAACTCTCCAACCTTCTGAGTGCTGGGAGGTCAGATATCACTCCTGCAAGCCAACTGGCTTGTTGGCTAGTGCTGGGAGCCAGCCAGTATTTCAGAGCTGTGCTTTGGCACACGTGTGTATGTGTAAGATGCCACAAGATGACTCAGATTCTAGAAAAAGTGAGATTCTGCTCAGTTATCATGATGTAAATCCAGTTTAACTATTGCTTAAGAGCTGAATTTGGCCCACTATCATTAAAGATGGGACATGTGGTCACCGTAGTCTATTAAGCTCTGCAGGCAGACTAGAAGGTGTAGGCTAGCGTATGGCCTCGAGAAACAGACTCGCCTTGGGGGTAAGAATTCTAAGGCTGTTTCCAAATCAGGATTATTGAAAGAGAAACATCTAAAAAGTTACATATTATACCATTGCCTTGGCATCAGTTCACTGTAAGCCAAACATTCTCATTGCTTTGTTTCTACCATTAGCCTTATAGTTTTGAAATAGAAACTCTGAAAATGCAGCTGCTTCTAGCCTAAGTGTAAGACATTGCATAGCTATGGTTATCACAAGGATACAGATGGGAAAAACAAGGCTTTTCCTTTATAAGATACTATGACCAAACAGCTCAGAGCCAAGAAGCAAGCAAAAAAAGTCTGTTACCTCAGTTGATTTCCAAGATTTTTGGATTGCTAGAGACCACCTTTATACAGCAAATAAAGCATTTGTTTTTACCTTAAGGTTAACTATTGGTAGGTTGTATCTGTCTGATTTTCTCACAACTGTAGACAGATCTTGCAAATGGGATGATAGGAAAGCTCTGTATGTTGACATTAAACCAGCCGCTCGGGCTTGTTGAAAGCATTGATAATCAGCTCGCATGGCACCAGAAAGTGGCAAGTTCAAAGCCACCAAATGCAGCTGGAAAATAAGGAAAAAAACTCACTGATTTCAGGTTTAAGTTATAACATCTATTAAGCAATTAATCTGCCTCCACCCTGATAAGGAAAATGTGCCCTTGAGAAAAGCAGAAAGACAAATAGCTGAGCATAATAGTTAGTACATTCCAAAGAAGACTATTTAGATTAACCTTTCGTGATGAAGGTATATTTGCCACCATTACATCACACTTCTTAAAGAAGTCATGTTCAGCTTGATGAGCCACAGGCCAGCCCACACCAGCAATATGTTATCTTCAAATAGTTAGACAACCATAAAATCATTTCAAAACCAAAAAACTTCCATTTTAATCAACAGTTAAGATTTGCTAAACACAGTTACTGTCACGTTGCTTATAAGAGCCCAACCATTACAAGGCAATAAATACAGTTAAGGACATAGCCAGGCAATGGCCACAAAAATTCATTGTAATCAACCACAAGGAAAAGCATTTTTTAATCACAATGTAAGAAGCTGAACTCTGATCATATGTTATTCTTTCAGATGCAGTAATTCTGTTATCTTGACTAAATATTTAAACAATTTTTATAGAGGAAAATGTATATTCTGAAACATCCATTTGACAACTAACAACCACCAATCGTCCTCATGGCAAAAACAGGAATAGCTATGACTAAAATATGTTAAATCAACATTAATGAACTTTAAATGTAGCCTTTGTCCTAGATTTTGTTATAGTATAGAAGTGAGTCCATATTCATAGCTCACAAATCAGGAATGCATTTGCTAGAGGACATGAAGAAAGGTTAGAATAACAAAAACAATTCTTAAAGAAGATATTTAAAATTTTTCATAGCTTCTAAACTAACTAAAAGACGTAACTGAAAATTCTCAGAGTAATTGCTATAAATTCAGAGCGGATACATTTAAAAATTCAAACAAAGGTTTAATCCCTGCTTTAAGCCCAAATCTCAGGTATGCAGCTGTAATAGTGCCTCTAATGTAATTCTTCTACTTACTGTTGGTTTTCCATGATTAATAGTTGAAACTGGTCTTAGTGCTGGAAGAGACTGAAATCCCTATTAGTTCAACATACAGAAATAAATCAGAGTTAAGATACAATGCTCAAATCATGGAAAAAAAGACAACTTCCTTACTCCAGCTTGTTGTTGGGAATACTGCAGAATTTTTTTGTAGTGAAATAAAAATTGAACCACATAGAATATAAAGTCATATTACTCTGAGTATAACATCCCGCAACTTTAAATCCAGATACATATTACACACTAAGGTCCTGATTTAGAAAGTCACGCAAGCATGTATTTACATGCTGTCTTGAACAGGGATGCTTTCCTGAATGTGGGTCTACAATACTAACACTAATCTGCCTATCTGTATCAATGCCAGAATGCACTTGAATGTATGCACAGCAACAGACAGTGCTTAGTACGAAGACAACATGGTTGGGATGGATTCAAATGAAAAACAGAGTGAGACAAGACAGGCCACCCACAGTAGAGAAAAATCCTGTTGAGAGGGAGCCTATCTGCAAAACATTTTCCCCATTTGTAATATTTCAATGCAGTTTTCCACAAGCCATGAACAGTTTTGCACTTACATAGCCTGAAATTGCTGGAGGTGGAGGGCTATCAGCTGGGATGGGAATTAATTCCCCAAGCTGGAAGAACACAAAATGAAGAGATAAACAAAAACATATACATGAATGAATTATATTTCTTTAAACTGTGCCGAAGGATAATCTTAGCACCCACACTCTCCCCTTAAAGAATATTTGCAACAAAACCAGACTTTAAGAAGAAGAACTACATGATGCAATAATACCTGCAATCTTCTCCATCCTCCTCGAACACGGATAAACACCTCGCTACTTTCACTCAGGTAGATTAATGTACCTTCTGCCACTAAGTGAACCTTTTGCAACATTCCATCAATATTTCTGAATGTTGTAACCTGTCAAATAACAAGGAAACAGAATAATCAAAAATAAGGGACATTTGCAGATAAAATTAAGTCTTTCTTTGAACTGGAAATTAATAGAAGTCATAGAATGAAAATAGACTTTCTGTACAGTAAATATTTATAAAGCCTGTATTAGCTCATTTCACCCAATTTTGTTTATGTGGCATCCACTTCTTTTGGCCCTTATCATGAAAGGTGGATCTGGACTGGTAGTTGCCTGTTACATTCATTGACTGCATCAGCCATGAAGGAGTTTGGGGTTGGGTGTGAAAATAGGAACTCTGAGCCCTTAGCAGGAACACAGTACTTCTTATCTGCTCTCTTGCAGGTAGGGGGTTATGGTAGCAGGAGTCTGCCAAATTGTCTTTGCAGTTCAAACAGAGCCTTGTTTATAGGCAGGGCTATACTATCATTAATGATCTGGAGGATGGCGTGGACTGCGCCCTCAACAAGTTTGCAGATGACACTAAACTGGGAGGAGTGGTAGATACGCTGGAGGGTAGGGATAGGATACAGAGGGACCTAGACAAATTAGAGGATTGGGCCAAAAGAAATCTGATGAGGTTCAACAAGGACAAGTGCAGAGTCCTGCACTTAGGACGGAAGAATCCCATGCACTGCTACAGACTAGGGACCAAATGGCTAGGCAGCAGTTCTGCAGAAAAGGACCTAGGGGGTGACAAGAAGCTGGATATAAGTCGACAGTGTGCCCTTGTTGCCAAGAAAGCTAATGGCATTTTGGGCTGTATAAGTAGGGGCACTGCCAGCAGATCGAGGGACGTGATCATTTCCCTCTATTCGACATTGGTGAGGCCTCATCTGGAGTACTGTGTCCAGTTTTGGGCCCCACACTACAAGAAGGATGTGGAAAAATTGGAAAGAGTCCAGCGGAGGGCAACAAAAATGATAAGGGGGCTGGAGCACATGATTTATGAGGAGAGGCTGAGGGAACTGGGATTGTTTAGTCTGCAGAAGAAAAGAATGAGGGGGGATTTGATAGCTGCTTTCAACTACCTGAAAGGGGGTTCCAAAAAGGATGGAGCTAGGCTGTTCTCAATGGTAGCAGATGACAGAACAAGGAGTAATGGTCTCAAGTTGCAGTGGGGGAGGTTTACGTTGGATATTAGGAAAAACTTTTTCACTAGGAGGGTGAAAGCACTGGAATAGGTTACCTAGGGAGGTGGTGGAATCTTCTTCCTCAGAGGTTTTTAAGGTCAGGCTTGACAAAGCCCTGGCTGGGATGATTTAGTTGGAGATTGGTCCTGCTTTGAGCAGGGGGTTGGACTAGATGACCTCTTGAGGTCCCTTCCAACCCTGATATTCTATGATTCTATGATACCAGAGGAGGCAGTATGAAGGATGCCAATCAATTTGTGTTGAGTCTCCTGAACCTCCTCCAGTGGGATCTGGGAAGAACCTGCAATTCTTCTCATGAGATCCAGAAACTGTTTAAAATCATCTGTGTATAGAGGAGGAGGAGGGAGAGGAGGCATCACTGCCTCATCAGGTGAGGAGAAGAGCTATTAGTCTGAAGCATAGCTTCCTCAACAGCCCTTCTCTCCTGATACTCAAAAGATTCCTCCTGGGGAGGCGATGGACATGGAAAAGCTGAATGAGTAGGAGGGTGATGCCCCTGACACTCCCTGTGAGTTTAGCTAGGAGCTCTGGAGAATTGTTCCCTATAGGCAGCCTATACAACCCAGAATGACCAGTGACCAGTGGGGTGGTCCATATGGGAAGGGAGGGGGCACCTATGAATACTCATACCAGGGGGAGCCTGGGGCATCCCGTGTACATCTGTGCTTCGAGGATTCCCTTATAGAGGGTGTTGAGAGAGGCAGCTTTGGGCTGGTAATCGAGTGAACTTTGAACAGAAATCTGGAAGTCAGAGGAATTGTCCTCATTGTAGCCAGAAGGGGGCAGCTGGTGGAATTGAGACTGGGAGTCTGTCCATTCAAGAGGGTACCAGAGTGTGTCTGTGCCAGGGAATGGTGTGGTACCAGCAAGGAAAAAGCTTCAGTACCCAGAGTCTTTCAGCACCCATCAGTAGAGGTGTCTCCGGTTTGTTTGAAATGACCAAGTCCTTAGAGAATCTGAACTTCTGCAGTACCAGAGGAAGCTGTGCAGTAACCTGATGGGGTTCAAAGCTGGAGGCAGGTGGCACTAAGGATGACCTCAATTTCAAGGGTACCGTCTGGCACTGTGCAGTTTGGGGAACTACTGGCATTGCAGTAGTTATCAACACTGAAGTTGGTACTGGTCTAGTTGATGCAGAATGCTTAGAGTCTCCAGAGGTGCAATCCTGCTTGGATAGTATGAGTTGGGCTTAGATACCGAACACTGAGGGGTACTGTGAGTAGATACCTGCTACTTTCATAGAACCTATGGTACTGGGAGATCAAAGTGCCTCAACATTACTCTTTTTAGGATGCGAGGTCTCCAAAGTGGAAGGTCTCTGTGGTGGCTTCTTAGCACTGACTTCTCTGAGGGATCCAGAGCTCCTCTTTTTGGAAGTCTTACAGTTGTCCTCCACAGACGTCTCCTGAGTGGGCTGCGGAGGTTGATGGGACACTCCTTGTAGATCTAGTTTTGAACCTGAGCAATCCTACATTTAAAAGGGATAGGAATGTACCTTAAGCAATGGAGGTAGCTAGAGTGGCTGTCACTAACTGGTATAGACTTCTGGCAAGTTAGGCAGTGCTTAAAACCTGGGAATCCACACATAACCTGAGGATGAAAAATAACTTCTTTTGAAGGAAGGAGTAATCCCTCAGGGAGGTGAGGTGGGGAAGATGAAAGGTCTCTCCAAAAGAAATCCCCACAAAACTAACCAAAATAAAGGATGCTAGATACCTAACTAATTACTAAACTAGAGGAAAATCTTGCTCTAAAGGCAGACTAGCAAAGAATTAAGCACCGCAAGATGCTTCATCTCAGGCTGAGGCCGTTGAGAAGGAACTGTGGGTGGTTTGTCCACTGCTGTCCTATATACCCTCGGTACAGGACAGCTGGGACATGACTGGGCATTGCTATCAAAAGTCTCTGATCAAAGGCACAGGGGACACATGCACACCTAAAGTGGAGCACCTATAGGGACAGGAGGAAAGTCTGTTGAAAATATTGACCTGAATTACTGGGTTTTATTCTACTTGGGTACCTAGTTTCCTTGGAAGAAAGACTGGGCTCAGTATTATTTATTCTAATCACATAACATATTAAGTTGTCATGTTGTATACTCCTTCAGAGGTACTGATTTGTATCTGCAACATGCAGCCCCTCCACTGATTTAGAAACCTATAAATCTTTTTGAATTATTTTGATAAGATGCTACTAATAAGCCACCAAACTGAGCTTTACTCTCTTTGCTCTTTTTCTGAAGACTTATTATACAGAGAAGGGAAGTGATGCAGTAGTGGCCTTCTATTGGAGTGTTTCCATTGACATTCATGCTCTGAAAATGGCAAACTTATGTTTTCTTCTCTTACCAGGTTCCTAGTTCCTGGTAATCCTGGCTCCCCGGGAGGACCTGGTGGCCCTGGAACTGCAGCTGTTAAAATAAAACAAAAATATGCTTCATGTCTCTTTTTTGAGAGAAAGAGAGTGAGAAGGTGAGAGGAAATACTTGATAATGTTGTGTAGGACAAAGGTCTTATTGGCATGAGTTTGTGACAACTATAGTACTCCCATGCACTGACGTCCTGAGTGAGTGTGTTCACACAAGCTACAGAAAATCTATTTGCAATGATTTTGGTACTATTTTTCTTGTATCCTTCCATCTGGGTGGATAGTCATATATCCTGCAAGCTCTTCTGCACATGTTTAACTTTAAGCACACGACTAATATTTAAATCAGTGAGACTACTCCCACGCTTGAAGATAAGCTTTGTGTTTGCAGACTCAAGGCCTCAGTTATCCTCTGTACAATTTGCAAGGGATCATAAAATCCCCTAAAAATAACCTAAAATAACTTTTCTTTACAAAAAAGGTTCACAACTTCAAGGTCACCTATCTCATTACTTTTAATGTTTAGAAGAAACTGGCACCTCCTAAGGGAGAGCTGGGAATCGTTCTTTTACAATGATATGAACCTTCATTTCTAATACTGTTGGGTTGTGACAGGTTTAAGACTTCTCACTACTCCAGAACTGAGATTTGTTCACCCCGATCCTTGGGCCAGTGTATTTTGGAGTGACAATTCCACAAGTAGCAGAGAAAGGAGGAAATATTTCTCTGGCAGGTTGATCATATATTAGTGGTTGTTTGAAGTTGCTCAGAGGTTTGGAAAGCAACAAATAATCCCTGCGGGCTGTGTGTCAGTGGTTCCCAGTGGGAGCTCAAGGCAGCTCCTTCCACTGAAGCTGAGATGAAGGTGTCTGAACTGGAGAATCCATGCTCTAGGATGGGTCACAAACCACCATGTTAGAAAGATCCTAGAGTCAGAGGCAGGCGCCTCCTTGGAAAGGAAAAAAACAAGCGAGAAAGGGAGGACAAAGAAAAGTTGAGGGGGAGCAAGGGAAAGCATGATAGGGGTGATGTGGGGAGGATAAGCGGTGTAGTGGGGAGCACAGTTATGCTGAGGGATGGAATGAGGTGGGAAGGAATAACTTTTATAGTCAAGGGACAGTTTTCCAGATTAATCTGAGTGTCTGGAAGCCTGGCACTCCCAGGCACCCTGGTGACAATTTCACTTACGTTTTCAGCACTTCTCAGAATGCATACAAAGACCAGCAGCAGCTCCCAGACACAACTGCCCCCACTATTTCCCAGCTTAATTGGAAATCTGTACCTTGATTTTTCCCCCCCAAATGCTGGCAATTCTGCAAATGCATGTAACGTGCACAACATCGGCACATGGTGTTTACAAGCTAGGGTGACCAGATGTCCCAATTTTATAGGGACAGTCCCAATATTTGGGGCTTTTTCTTATATAGATACCTATTACCCCTCCACCCCCGTCCCGATTTTTCACACTTGCTGTCTGGTCACCCTATTACAAGCTGAAGGAGAAATGTCATGCAATAATTTTCTGTGATTGTCTCTTTGAGAAGATCTGGTGAGGGTAAGTGGCTGCACTTAACACAATGTCCCACTCCTGTTTATTCATCCACAGCCCCCAGGAAGGTTTACTGAGTGTCTCTGCTATTACATGGGAGGAAGAACAAAAGAAAAGGCACAGAAGAAAGGGCCCAATCCTGCTTCTGATGACTTCAGTGGGACAGGGATCCGGCTCACAATGAAGGGAGACGGGTATAAGTTAATCGAGGAAAAAAAGTTAAAAATTACACCAAATATATATTAAAGAAAAATGTCTTGTTTCTACTATATTCTTGTATCCTTCCAGTCTGAACTAGTTTGTGCTAAATATAACACCATAAAAACATTTTTAAAAGGTAGTTTAAAAAAGACCCCTAAAATTCAGAAAGCCATATCACCAGCACATTAACACACTCCAGGGCTTGTTTTATTAGAGTATAAAAGCATGTGATGATGGTGTGTTAATAGAAGAACAAAGCATCCCCTGATGCAGTTTAGTGCCATTAACATTCCCTAAATACGTTTTTCATTAAATCTCATGTAACCTTGGAACCATCTTTACAATCTACAGAGTCATCATTCTGGTGCACTTGTGGGGATCTTTTTAGACCAACTGTTATGTGCCTGTGGCAGGGGACAGAGGCTTGATTCAAAGCCAGCATTCAGTAGTTTAGCCTTTCCTGTCTCCCACATTACAGCATGTGGGAATTTTGACATGGCTAACCAGGAGCCTAATTAAAAGGAGACAAACTCATGCCTGGGCTCCATTCAGATTTACTAAATGGACATTCATCAGTTTGCTTAATAAAGCAAAGAAGAGGATGCGTAGGAGGGAGACTGAGGTCAGTGGCAGAACAGTCTAGGGAAGGAACACACCCAACGATTGTCTGGAATGTTTTGTTTAGTTTGACTGGGTTTTAAGCAATTTCGAGAAGTGCTTGATGTGGAGGACATGGTAGCTGCCTGTAATATTTTATGAATATTGTTTATCTCTGTGTGTTTGATATAGTATTTGCTATCTTACCAAGTGTTAATTCAGACAGGAAAGCAGACAAACACTTCTGATAGCCACCCATCTACAGATAACTATATTGCAATTCAGAGAGCCAACTGCTTGGAAGTCTACCCCTCATTCCCTGCTGGGCTGCATAAATTGGCTTGACCAGGTTCAGTAAAGATCTGCCCCTGAAGAAGGGGTGAGACACGAGGGGAAACGGGCTGAATCCCAGCCCCCAGATGCCGGGGTGTCTGGATAAGTTAGGCCTACGTAAGGTTTGGGTAAGAAAGCTATGCGTGTCAGCTGGTTGTTGTGTAACTAACCCTTTGCTCTTGTTATGCTGTGTTCCAGCTGCTGAGACTAAACAATGCTTGGTGGTTTAAAAGGCTGTTTTGGCTCATATTCACACACTAGTCACAGCTCCCAAAGAGAAGAACTGCAGGATTCAAGCCCAGTCAGGCCTGCTGAGGAGTCAGAGTCAGTGCACAGGGTACAGGACCCAGTCTGGCAGAATGGCAGGCTACCACCCCAGAATAGATGTAAGCAAGCAGACTGTCCTCTGTACATTCAAAGAGACTTTAGAGGGGTCAAAAGTTCAGCCAGCTCCAAACCAGGACACTTGGTTACGGCAATGCATTCTCAACGTTCAGGCAATAAAATCCCTAAGGAAGTACCTCTGCAAGTTTGGAGTTGCAGAGCTGCAGTCTAAAGTGGTTTACAAAACTCCTCCCTCGTGTGTGAATATATGGGCCACATTTTGTCCCGGTGCTAATCTAGTACACTCAAACCCAACAAAGGTGTGAAAACTGAAAATGTGTGGGTTTTGCCTATGTTAAAAAATTCTTACAACTGTTTTGCTCAGAAGCTGTAGCGCCTCCATGTTTATGAGCTGGAATCTTAAATTTGGCAGAAGGCATCATCCTTTTTCTGGCCCTGTGAAAATTTGCCAAGTTATAAAGCCTATGAAAGTTTCCAGTTGAAGTTTGACAACAAAATTCTCCAAACATTCCATTTCCACTGAGCATGCCCTGCCAGGGCCAAACTCGCCGAGTATGCTCCAGCCCTGGACTGAGCAGAATTTCCCTGCAGTTCCCCCTGTAAGCCTGGCTGCTGGGAGCTGCTGTGGAACCAGGCAGTGGAATGGAGAACAGAGTGACCATCTCTTCTGTGCTCTCCATGTCACCCTCTCCCTGCTGGAGCTCAGGCAGTGTGGAGAAGAAGGAAGCAGCCTGTCTCAAATGCAGAAAAATATAAGAGCTTCCAGGCTGGGTCAGACCATGACCCAACTTGCCCAATATTCTGTCTCTGACAGTGGCCTGTACCAGAGCTTCAGGGGAGTGTACAGAACAGAGCAATTATGGAGTAATCCACTCATGTCTTCCATTCCCAGCTTTTGGTAACCAGAGGTTTAGGGTGGCCCTGAGCATGGGACTGTATCCCTGACCATCGTGGCTAATAGTCATTGATGGACCTACCCTGCACGAATCTTACCAGTTCTTTTTTTAACCCAGTTATACCTTGGCCATCACAACATCCCATGGCAATGAGTTCCAAATTAGTTGTGCATTGTGTGAAAAATTACTTCCCCTTGTTTGTATTAAATCTGCTGCCTATTAATTTCATTCGGTGACCCCTGGTTTTTGTACATGTGAAAAGGTAAATAACACTTTGCTATTGACGTTTCCATACCATTCATGATTTTATAGACTTCCATCATACCGCCCTTTAGTCGTCTCTTTTCTAAGATGAACAGCCCTAATTTTTTAGTCTCTCCTCAGACTGAAGTTGTTCCATCCCCTTGATTATCTTTGCCTTTCTCTGAACCTTTACCAGTTCCAGTATATCCTTTTTGAGATGCGGTGACCAGAACTGGATACAATATTCAAGATATGGGCATACCATAGATTTATATAGCGGCATTATGATATTTTCTGTCTTATTTTTTATCCCTTTCCTTATAGTGCCTAAAATGCAGGTGGCCTTTTTGACCGCTGCTATGCACTGAACCTAAGTTTTCAGAGAACTATCCAGGGTGACTCCAAGACCTCTTTCTTGGGTGGTAACAGCTGCTTTAGAACCCATCATTGTATATGTATAGTTGGGATTATTTTTTCCCAGTGTGCATTACTTTGCACTTAAAATGTTGACATTCATCTGCCATTTTGCTGTCCAGTCACCCAGGTTTGAGAGATCCCTCTGTAACGGCACAGTACAGCTCCTTATGGACCCCACTGTTCACCTCTCTTCTTGTGAAAACTGACCATTTATTCCCACCTTTTGTTTCCTATCTTTCAACCAGTTAATGATCCATAAAAGGACCTTCCCTCTTATCTCATGGTTACTTAGTTTTCTTAAGAGCCTTTGGTGAATGAAGGACCTTGCCAAAGGCTTTCTGAAAATCCAAGTACATAATACCAAGGGGATAATCCTTATCTACATGCTTGTTGACTCCCTCAGATAATTTTAACAGATTAGGGAGGCAGGGCTTTTCTTTACAGAAACTGTGTTGACTCTTCACCAACAAGTTGTGTTTATCTATGTGTCTGATAATTCTGTTGAACAGCAGATGGGGTTACAGGGACAGGGTAGGCAGATGGGTTGGATGGGGACAGGGTAGACTCTGGGAGATAGTGGCTGGCTAAGCTGGGATGCAGGTGTGCGCGCGCACACACACACACACACACACACACACACACACAGGAAAAAGCAGGTTCAGAGCTCCCTCACCTGAGCCATATATCGCTGGAGGTCCTGGGGGTCCAGGAGGGCCTGGTGGGCCGGGAGGTCCAACTATTCCATACCCTGGAGATCCAGGTAGGCCAGGTAACCCAGGGGGGCCTCTTGGCCCAACAATTGAATCCCCCTTTGGCCCCTGTCAAGGCAGAAGACTATTGTTTAAACACAAAAATGATACACATGCAGCAGTCTGAGTGAGCAATGGTGTAAGCACGCTGATCTCAATAGCGAGATCCTGAAGTTAGCCTCCCAAACCCATATTTGGGCATAATTTAGTCTGTAGTCTGATTTTCAGAAATGCTGAGCACTCAGAAGCTCTCACTGAAGACAACAGAAAATGAAAATCTTACTATTTAGGTACCTAAACTATGGATTTAGAGCCTAATTTTTTGCAATGCTTTCTGAAAATCTTGGCCCAGGTGCTTGGATCTGCTCCGAGTATCTGATTTCCCCCCTAATGCTGTACACTATTCACCATGCACCTGAACCGCCAGTGCACAACTAAGGTCACTCCAAGTTTGATATACTTAAAATGGTGTCAAAATTGTCTCATGATGCCTGTGAGAAGCTTTTAGCCCTAAGGATACATGACTCACCCTGAGTGCCTCCCGCATTGCAACAGTATCCCAGCCTTCTACCCCATTCCTCACCTTGCCCTCTACAGACCCCATCTACCTAGCCTCCCAATTTATGAGTGCCAGAATAGGGAATCCTGCAATTTGGCAGGGAGCATCATGATCTCCATGCATCTTCAGCCCCTCCCCCCCACATCCTTCAGGCCAGCCTGCATATATGGAACAGGTCGGGGCCATGTATCCAAAATGCCTGGTCATCGTCTGCTGCAGTTGATGTGTCACCCAGTCTCTGCTGTTCTTCAGGCAAAGCATTTCTCTGCCAGACAACAGACTGGTGCAGAGGGAGCAGTTCCCAGTAGAGTCAAATGGGATAATTCAGGACTCACTGCAGGCAAGGGTCCTATCCTGGCACTCCTTCCCAGTTGCCACAGACCTTCCTTCTTTTCTGGCACAGTTATCATTAATGGAACCTAGCAAACCCCATACAGTAGCCAATTAACAGGTGCCATCCACCTGGGGATTAGCAAAACTGCTTCTAAAGCTGATTTTTATGGTGATAAAAAACTAGATAGATTACAAAGCAGCTGAATTTTATAGGAACTGTTCAGACTGATACACATGGGATTTTTCATTAATGTTTTTGGAGCACTGGATGTTAGTTACATTAGAAAATGTTAGTTAACTAGATGGCCAACATTTTTCAATATGGACACTATATTATTTGTGTACTAATTATTTTGACCTTTATGATGATATAACCAGTAACATCATATGTATCTTAATTTATGTTATTGGTATTATGAAGCTACTTATTGACGTAGCTAATTCAGGCAACAGAGCAAAATGTTAAATCTGTTTTTTCTGGCAACTTAATTACCACACATGATATTAAAATGTGTATATTTAATATTGTGAATAAATCCTATATGCAAGTCATACCAATTTTATTTGTATTTATTTTTAAACTTCTAAAATACACATAGTTATACACATTTAGGCATATGTATGGAAATATAACATCACACATGGCATAGTGTGATTTTACAACCTAGAACGACAGCTTCCAATCAAAACACTCCCCCAGCCATCTTTCAACGAAAAACCTGAACGAGTAGATCTTGCAGTGTGTCACAAAGGCTCTCTCTGACCAGCTACAAAGTTGAAGGACTTCTGCTGAGAATGCTGCCACTGGCAGATTACTATATATTTTTATTCTTACCCTTTATTGGTCACTGTGCCCAAAAGAGGCAATAGTCTTTGTAAATTCAGACAGCGTAATGAGAGAGGCTCTCCCCACACTGAACCTGTTGGGTACAATTCTCCTTTGATTTAGTCTAGTTCTTAATTCAGTTACTAAGTATGAATTGCAAATTTTATCACAAATAAATCTGTAGCTCACTTTAAATCTGATTTAGGCCCCAAACCTGGAAACTTTTATGCATGTGCCTAACTTTACTCACATGAGTAGTCCTATCAACTTCTATGGGGCTGCTTGCCTGCATACAATATTACCCATCTACGTAAGTGTTTGCAGGTCTGGGGCTTCAGAGAAGAGGATTTTCAAAATCTTACCTACTTTAACTTTTGTAGTTAGTCCAAAAAAAAAAAAAAAAAAGTCAGTGACATCACAGAATCATGGAAATTTAGGGCTGTAAGAGAACTCATGAAGTCATCAAATCCAGCCCCCTGCACAGAGGCAGGATCAAGTAAACTAGACCATTCCTGACAGGTGTTTGTCCAAGCTGTTCTTAAAAACCTCCAATGATGGGGATTCCACAACCTCCCTTGGAAGCCTGTTCCAGAGCTTAACTACCCTTAGAGTTAGAATGTTTTTCCTAATATTTAATTTAAATCTCCCTTGCTGCAGATTAAGCCCATTACTTCTTGTCCTACCTTCAGTGGACATGGAGAGCAATTCATCACGGCCCTTTTTATAACAGCCTTTAACATATTTGAACACTGTTATCTGGTTCCCCTCCCTTCTATCCCCCCATCTTCTTTTCTCAAGACTAAACATGTCCAATTTTTTAAAAACCTTTCCTCATAGGTCAGGTTTTCTCAACCTTTTATCATTTTTGTTGCTCTCCTCTGGATGCTCTCTACATCTTGTCCACGTCTTTTCTACGCTGCAGTGCTCAGAATTGTACACAGGACTCCAGCTGACACCTCACCAGTGCAGAGCAAGGTGGAATGGTTACCTCCCATATCTTACATACAATGGTCCTCTTAATACACGCAGAATATTAACCTTTTCTGTAACTGCCTCATATTGTTGACTCATATTCAGCCTGTGATCCACTATAACCCTAAAATCCTTTTCAGCATTACTCCACTGAGACAATTATTCCTCATTTTGTAGTTGTGCACTGGCTGTTTCCTTCCTAAGTGAAGTACTTTGCACTGTCATTTTTAAAATTTCATCTTGTTGAATTCAGATCAACTCTCCAATTTATCAGGGTCATTTTGAATTCTAATCCTTTCCACCAAAGTGCTTGCAACCCCTCCTAGCTTGGTGTTATCTACAAATTTTATAAACATACTCTCCACTCCATTATCCAAGTTATTAATGAAAATATTGAATAGTAGTGGACCCAGGACTGACTCCTGTGGGATCCCATTAGATATGCCCTTCCAGGTTGACAGTGGACCATTGATAATTACTCTGAGTACATTCTTTCAACTAGTTATGCACCCATCTTATAGTAATTTCATGTAGACCACATTTCCCTAGTTTGTTTTTTGTGTTTATTTAGTTCTTACTGGAATGAGAAAATGCCCATGTACATTTCTGTTGCAAGAGAGACTGCATCACTTACAACTAGTCCTGGTCTTCCAGGGAGTCCAGGGGGTCCAGGAGGCCCTGGCATAAAGAACCCTCCACTTGGTTCTCCTTTTTCCCCTTTGAAGCCAGTTTCGCCATTGTCTCCTTTCTCACCCTTAGAAGAAAAAACATTAAAAAAAATTAAGTTGAAACAGGATTGGAACCTGACATTGATCCTGTAAAGTTACACTAAAAATCTCAATACAGGATACAATGAGCTTAGAATCTGCTTTTTGAGATCACTCCCTTCCCCAATGACGTATAATGAAAACAAATAATCTCCTCCTCCCACAGAGAGAGGAGAAAATTAGGTAGGGGAAATTGTGTTTATTGTAGTTCTCCTTCTGCTATCCTCCAAAACAAAGATTTCATACTGCAATTATACCTTCATCCACCAGAAAGCTGGAAGCAAAAGTCACAGGAGCTGCAAAGAGCCAGGCTCCACCCCCTTTCCTTTGGTCACTGAAAAAGCAGACTACAGATGTCACAAAAATAGAGCTGATATTTAAAGATGTGTAGAAAAGCAAGGATTACTGTAGACAGGTGGAGAGAAAGTGAAGGAGGTAGGATGGGAGAAGAGATGACACACAAAATATTGGCACATGATTTTCTCCTGTACTTCTCTTCTCCCATCCTACAGAGAAGATCATCAGTGAGTCTGAGAGAAGGAATGACAAGAAGAGCCTTGAAATACAAAGTTGTTATTCTCCCTGCTGAATAAGAACCACATCAACAGAAGTTCCAGTCTCTCATTATTTTCTTTCTGTAGTTCTGTAACATGCTTGTTTTCTCTCTACCCTCCTCTTGGTCTTCCTTATTTCTTCCTTCTGAGAAATAAGATTGTAAATAGAAGCAGCAGAAGACTGAGCAAGAATTGCTCAATCCCAGGACAGGTGGCAAAACAGACTCAGGGAAAGGGGTGAGGAGCCCAGCTACTTATAGCTTTTGTGATTGACAGATTTTCCCTCTTGCTTCCGGGTAAATGGAGTTGTAAAGCCTGCTGTATGGCATCTCGTTCTGTGTGGGGGGGGGGGGGGGAAAAAGCGCAATTATATCTTGTGTTGTATCAATATAATTTAGGTGGTGAAATTTTTTTGTTAAATCAAAAAATTTCTCGCTTTGAGTTGACGCAGGCTACACATTTTTGAAAAGAAAATATAAATAGATGACACCAAAGAAAATCTGATAGCAAACCTCCTCTATAATAATCTTTCAAGGGGATTGGTTATACCATTACATAACATTTTGATTTGATTTCTTCTGGAGATATCACTATGCAATATTCTGATTACATTACACTAGAAATCTTATATTGATACAAGACAGGATATAATAGCTCTAATTCAGTTAGAGCAAAATAAAAGCATTTTAAATTAATATTCCATTCATATTCAATTCCAACACTTAAAGTAATCCATAGTGGGAGGACAGATGAATGCTGAAACAAGGAAGTCTGGATCACATGGTTTTCCTTAATAAGCCATTTTGGAGAACAAATAAAGGGAGACAGAACTACTGGCTCCCAGCAGATCCTTTATTTTATTAAGTCTGTAAAATGGTTTGTACTGGCTCCATCCCCTTTCCTGCAGTCACTGAAAAAGCAGACTTCAAATTTCACAAAAGCAGAGCAGATATTTGAAGGTGTGTAGAAGAGCAAGGATTACTGCCTATGGGGGGAGAGAAAGGGAAGGAGGTAGGATGGAAGAAGAGACAACACTGAATTATCGGCACTGACTTTTCCTTGTACTTCTCCCATCCTACAGAGAAAACCATCAGCGAGTCTGGGAGAAGGAATAACAGGCAGTCTGTACAAAAACTGATTTTTCATGTATTAAATGTAGCTAAATTTGCTCTAACAGTCTTTTTGAAAGCAAAAGTTCTCTCACTCCATTGTTGGTATGAAAGAGTTTGAGAACTATAGCGGAGATTTAAAGTAGATAATGACAAAGTATGATTCATTTTAATACAATTTGTGAAAATAACTACTTAGAAGTAAAACCCAGATAATATTTTGTATGTTAGTAACCTCCTTTGTTTACTTTTGGTATATTATATAGTCATATGATAACTTGTTTATTCACCTATTAATTTGAATAATTGCATAATATATTAATTTGTAATTTCTGGTATAAATCAATTATTGTGTGTATTCCACTTATATGTTAGTATTTGTCTTATATTTAATGCATATTAAAATATAGGGTTAAAAAAGCTGAACAGAACTAAGACACACATGGGAAGTAATTACCTTCATGCTGTTAACAAAGTGGCTGAAATATGCTGAAGGCAGAGGAGGACCTGAAAAATCAAGTACTTTATTTTAGTGCAAAAATCATCTGTACTTTCCATTTTAAAAGGGCTAAATTATCCATAATTTCCATTTTAGAAGGCCATTATCTGTATTATTCTAGAAGTTTAAAATATAACTCTTCTCCATAACCATCTTGACCTTTTTAATGTGGCAAACATTTGTTTCCCCTCTGTTTTACTGTAGCAAAAGCCAACATATGGTCTGTATGCCAGCATCACTGCTGGGCTGGTGTCAGTGGGATTGTGCTTATGCTCTGGTGATGGTTAGATAACCTGAGACTACAGAGTCAGTATTTTGTTTTTCATGCTCTCGCTCTGCTGTTTTTGTGTAGGTTTGAGAAATAACTTGTTTTTTTCACAGTGCTCAACAGCAACATGATGGACTTGTTTCAAAGAGATACTTAGAATTCCCTGATGTATTGTAATCAGTTTAAATTAGGGCTAACAGTTTAGAAGATTAATTGAATTCAAACAAATTGCAGGGACGTGTATTCAATCAAATCCTAATGGAAAATATGGCACCATGTAGTTATTCATTCATAAATTAAAACATACCACACTTCAGAAAGGCAGTAAAAGTACCTCTCCGGCTCTCTTTTGAGAAAAAGCTTAACAACTGCTCGTGTAAGGGAAGCTGGCACCTTGTTTTCCAATGAGGAAGCACTAATGTTCTCTGCTAAACATACACCCAATACAAAATCAATACTCTGCTTGATTTTAACACCCAGGGGACTGACACAAAGTCCACTGAAGTAAATTGAAAGGCTCCCATAGACTTCTGTGGGCATTGGATCAGGCATGATAAGAGCTATTGGGTTCCACAGCACATCTGGAATTTCAGTGAGACAAAGTCAAATTCATTCATGTATCAGGGGGTAACCATGTTAGTCTGTATCCACAAAAACAACGAGGAGTCTGGTGGCACCTTAAAGACTAACAGATTTATTTCGACATAAGCTTTTGTGGGTAAAAAACCCACTTCTTCAGATGCATGGAGTGAAAACAGAAGTGAAAAACAGAAGTAAAAAAAGAAGTGGTTTTTTTTTACCCATGAAAGCTTATGCCCAAATAAATCTGTTAGTCTTTAAGGTGCCACTGGACTCCTCATTGTTTTTGTAAATTCATTCATATCATACAGATGTTGCTTTTGTCCCCTCCAGACAAATATCTGCAAGTATGAAGGCAGCCAGACTGGTATTCACAAACAAAATCTATTGGGTTAAGTTGGATAGAAATTTTTCCATATTTCTGAGCAAACAAAGCCATGGTTCATCATGTGATCGTCATGACTGGAACTCTGAAGAGGCTACTGTGGAAGAGCTACAACTGTCTGTGCCATTGCCACAGCTTTGAAAACTCTCTGTGCTCAATCGAGCTAACTCATAGCACGACTTCCATCATCATCACTCTAATATCTACCTCATGCACTTCATCTGTCAGACCAATATGTCCTATAAGGATGACTTATAGGGAAAGGATACTTACTTAGGCTGCTATAATGATCAAGAACAAAAAATGATGGTAATGTTCTACTAGGGCAACAACAGAATGGGCCACCAACTGTGTGGTGCTTTCCTTTAGCAAAATCTGAAACCCAACAAGGTCAATCGGATTCTCTAGGCAGACTAAGTAAATAGACCTCTGTTCTTTAGAGAACAAAGATGAACTCTGTTTTCAGACTAGAGGAAGTGATATCCTGACCATAACGAAGGTGTAATGTTCACCCCACTTTATCTCCAGCGAGAGTCCAAAAACAAGTATATGGAACATGATATCATTGTGATTGTCCGTCATCAGCACTTGAAAAACAATAATGAATTTAATAAAATGTGGGTGTGAGAAGTAGTGTGAGCAGGGTAGCTCATAAAACAGGATTTTTTCTTAGTTTTCCTTTGAAGTACCCAGTTCCTGCATTTTAAAAGTTGGCTGATGTTTGGGGAGCCCCTCCAAACTTTTTAGAAGCATCTGATACAGATCAGCAGAAAGGTTAGTGTGAAGGGCAAAAAGTCAAAATAGAAGTTTAGTGGGAAGAGCTGCCCTCTGGAAGATAACAACTGTAAAGTTATTTTAAGTCACAAAACTAAAGCTCTGGATTGAAGGCCTGAAATATTATAAGTACCACACATGAAAATATTTATTAATTTTTATAGTGCTCCTTTTATGTTTCACTATTTCTAATGTCCATCAATATAACGTTGCCATTTTTTGATTTTTTCTAACGAGCTAGTAATTAAAATGGGCACAAACAGGAAGAATTTATGAAATACAACAGCAACCTTGGCTGAAAAGATTTGCCTACGAGCCCTAGACGAAGACCACATTGTTTGTACAGTATGTGGCACATAGAACAAAAAGACAGTCCCTGTCCCAAGAGGCTTACAACAATCTAACTCACCTAATATAAATGTATTAGCTATGTACATCAAATTCTCCCATACAAATTAAATCCTCAGTGGGCAACTCCTGTTAGGATGTTTCTAGGCCCCATTAACTGCTATCAGTGTCAATACTTTTGATAATCAAGACAAATAAATGTTTGTACTGAACACAGATGTCAATAATTATGTGGCACTAGACTTCATCACAATTGGCTGACAATGCCAGACAAATAAAAGGACTTGGTGTCCTTCAAACCAGTTTAACACATTGTGACAAGCCAGATAGTTCTAAACATTTATTTGAAAAAAAAAAAAAAAAAAAATAAAAAAAAAAAGTTAAAAAAAAAAAAAAAAAATCACAAATAAGATGATGATGTTTCCCATAATATTATAGGGTTTATTGATTTATGCCCAAATTCAGCAAGGAATCTAAGTACATACCTAACTTCAAACAGATGTGGGACTATGCCAATGCTTAAAGTTAGCCATGTACTTAAGTACCCTGCGGAATCAGGGCCTTAATAAACTGTGATTAACTTAAACACCTGGTTTGGCATGGGAAATAAATATGACTTTTAAAATGTATTAGATATTTTGCATTTCTTAAAATAAACCCACTTGAAAAGCACATATAGTGCTCTACAATCATATTCATAATACCTGGTAGTCCAGGTGAGCCTCTCTCTCCTTTTTCACCTTTTAAGCCTGGTGGGCCATGCAGTTCCCAGGAGCCTGGTTCGCCTTTCATACCTGCCATAAAAATATTGCCAGAAAATGAAATGCATTCTTAGCAAATGAAAGTTATTGCAAAGTATAATTTTCAAATATGGTGTAACAGATACTGTGTTAGTGATGGACAAACCACAAAAGTTTTGGGAAAGGATTCTAAACACATCGCTGTTTATTCCAACTTAGAGGCTCCTTTCCCTTGTTACAAGCTTCCCCAACTTTCCCCATAACTGTTTAATAGGTACTGATGCCTTCTCCCTTCCCATGACATTTCAAAAGGACTGCCATTTCCTCTTTGCCTCAAGAACCTGAAATAACGCCTCTGTAAGGCTGTCTCTGTCTTGAGATCTCTCCCCCTCTTGAGTGACCTGGGCTTGCCTGAAGTAAGCCAAAGCCAGAGAGCACCCCAGCTGAGATACCTTCTTGATGATCCTAAGAGTACTGTAGAGAAAGCACTATCAAAGGGTAGAGGTGTATCTCCAGCAGGCTTAATCACTCAGGCACTTGAATTTCTTATCACAGAGCAATAAATAATGACTTCTGTTGAGGCCAACACAACTATTTATAATTCATTGCTTGTGATAAGTGAGTGTGACTAATGGGAAAAAAACAATATTCTTTCAGAGAATATAAAACCTTTTAGCAAGATTTCCTTACCAGGTGGGGCAGGAGAGTGTGTGTGTGTGGGGGGGGGGGGCGGGGGGAAAGGGGTAGACCTGCACCCAAATCAATGTTGAGTTTGCGTCCTCTCTTCCATGTATTTGCTCCCCACCTCCAGTTTCAATTGCAGTTCTACCCTGTCAGGTGACTAGATAACATGGCACTCTTCTTACTCAATGGATCTGATACCAGTGGGTGATATTCACTCCCACATAATGGGATTTTTCAGGCTGGATTCCCCACCACAGTGCCCCTTATGTAATCATTTACACCTGAGCAAAGTGGGTGTCAAATAACTCCATTCTTATGTGGTTGCATTTTACAGCTACTTTGCCAGGTGTAAATGGCTACACAGGTGCAAAGTGCAGTGTTCCTATGCTGAGTGATGGGCAGGAGGTATGGCAGTGAAGTTCACTCCTGAAATCCAGAGACAAGGCATGGGGCTACAGTGCAGTCCTCTCCGTGGCCACTCTCCACAGTTCCAATTTATAGGCTGGAGTAGCCACTGAAACCCTACACTCCAGTTGTGCAATGTATTAGTGCCACTGGATCCATATTAACACAGATCCCATGGCCTCTTTTATAATTTACACACATTGCATCTGTATCTAAGGCTGGTGCAGAAACCACCTCCGTCTTGCTTGGGCCCTGCCTGCATGGCTGCACCAATGCCCTCTTCCCGTGCATACCCAGAGTAGTGTTTAATGGGGACTGAGGAATCACTGCAGGGGCTGGTGGGGAAAATGCATTCCAATGCCTTCCCTTTATGGGAATATTCATTCCCTTGAGAGGGTCTGCAGGGAGGGTGAATCTCAGCCTTTGGGGGTTTATATTATGATTTGGACCAATTTTAATGCCCATTGGACACAATTAATGGACTATTGGACAAAACTGGGCACAATTAATGGCTGTTTTTAGTTACACTCATGGTGTGCAAGATTCAAAGATCAGATTAGCAATGCAAAATGCCATGGGGGACAGGAGTTGAGGCTCTTTTTGGGAGCCGAGATGGAAGGGATGGGAACTGACTCAGTGGAATGTTCTCCAAGTACAAGGCCCCTGTCTGCTGCCAAGAGGGAGTAGTGCCAGCAATGCGGCTGGAAGGGGCTTAGGCCCAGAGACTAAAGTCTGTTGCACAGTTTCCTGTTCCATTGCTGGACTCTACAGGTTTGACATTCCTTCCTCCTCCATTATCCCTGAAATCCCTCTCCACTAAGGGGGAGCGACTAAAGGAATCCCCCACCTGTGATGCTTGCAGAGCTTCCTGGCCTAATGTTGCCCTCCCAAGGGCATTTCTGCAGGAGGGTGCAATATGTACCATTCCCTCCCTGTTAATCTGTCTCCCTTCACCATTGTTTCCCTCCCTGGGGATGTCTACACTGTATAGACACAGCCAAGCTAGCTTTGATTTAGTTAGCTCAAATAATAATAGCCATGAAGCTGTGGCAGCAACAAGTTAGCTGCTCAAGTACATACCTAGGGTCCCACATGAGATTTTATGAACTGGCCCATGCTGCAGTGGATTCACTGCTATTGTTATTCAAGCTAGCTAGATCAAAGTTAGCTGAGGTATGTCTACACCTGCTGCAGTCACACTTCTGTTTGCAGTGTAGACGTACCCTCTGTCACTTCTCTCTCTCTCTCTGCCTTGGAAAATTATCTTCTCTTCAATAGGGCTCACCTCATCTTCCTACAGAGTGAAGGGAAGGGGAGAATTTCTTCTGTCTCCCCAGAAAGGTTCAAACACTCTTTCCCTTGCAAGTGAAAGAGGTTTTGGTGGTTTGATCTCTCCTTTTCAAAAATCTCTTCAGGGGTAATTTGCAGTGATTCCTGCTCTAAGGAGGGGTTGAGCCTGTCTATGATATTTACTTAGGCACAGATCCACAAAGGGACTTCGGAGTTGCCACACTTAACTTTTAGGTGCTTAGAAAAATCACAGGAAAAACACTGCAATCCACAAAGCTTGAGGCCACGTCTACACGTACAGTGCTGCAGTAGCGCAGCTGTTCCGATACAGCTGTGCTGCTGCAGCGCATCTGGTGAAGACTGTCTATGCTGACAGGAGAGAGAGCTCTCCTGTCGGCATAAACCCCATTCCTCACCCCTGTGAGCAGCATAAGCTATGTCGGCTGGAGAAGCTCTCCCACTGACATAGTGCTGTGCACACTACCACTTATGTCGGTGTAACTTATGTCGCTCAGGGAGGTGGAATATTCACACCCCTGAGCGGCCTAAGTTTTGCCGACATAGGCAGTAGTGTAGACATAGCCCGAGCTAGGTGTCTGTGTTCCCAATACACTGAATGGGGAGAGATAGACACTTCAAACTGCGATCCACCAATCCAGCAGGCTAGGTGGGGAGCAGCCTAAGCTAGCTAGTGGAAGATGCTGACCAGAGGGATATGTGCTGAGTCACCCCATCTCATGGAGATAGATGTCCCCTGGTTCAAGTCCCCCCTCTGCCTGTGAGTACTCTAACCACAAGGCTATGAACTATTCTGATATGGGGTTCCCTCAATCTCTCCTATTGAAGTTGTTCCACTTCAATTAAATAATTAAATATTAATGGGCCAGAGATAGCATTAGAATGACTAGAGCCCAGTGGTGAGAGCACTCACCTGAGAAGTGGCAGGTCTCTGTTCAAATCTCTTCTCACCCTCAGGAAGAGGATGGGACTTGAACTGGGAGGTCTCCCACATCCTGGATGAGTACTCTGACCACTGGGCCAAGGGTTATACAAGAGGCCCTTCCTCCTTCTCCTCCCCCACTAAGCTGTGAGGGAGGAGAAGGAGGAACTCGCCTGAGGGGCCTGATCCAGTAGACATGCTCAGAGGCTGCCTACCAGGTTGGGCCCCACATATGACTTAGGAGACCCAACACCTCTCTTCGTCCAGTATGTGGATCACTCCCAGGCTTGGATGGGAGATAGGTGCCTAGAGTGAGGCAGCAGTGGGTATGCCCACAGGCAAAAAACTTAGATGTTGAGTGAGTTCAGGCACCTACAGGGTTCGGTGGCAGCTGAGTGAGAGTTTTGTGGCTCAGAGTGGTGCCTAAAAACAGGACTTAGGTACCTAAGTACCTTCATGGATTACACCGTTGATGCCCAAGCAATGGGACTGGAGCTCTGATCATAGGCAGGAGCTTCCCACTCTGACTGGCTGACCCAAGGGAATGTTCTATGCCATTCAGAACACACACAGTCACCTCTGAGAGCAGTGGGACCAGCATTCATCAGGCAGGAGTTGGGGCTCTTCTAGGCTGGCTGAATTGGGAATCAACCAATCCAGTTTTCTTCCCATAGGAGTAATTTCAGGTTAGACTTCGAGTTTGCTGTTGAGATGTTCCCAGAGCACAGGAGGACTGATTGTGTGACTGCATAGTCCATACAGTTCTATAGCCGATTATGACAGAGAACACATAACAATGGGACTGCAGCCTCACCCCACACAGCCACATCTATGTGTCTTATCCCTGGTCAAGAGATACCACTTCTGAGAGAAAGGATATTTCAGTCCCATGGCTCATTCACTCCTTGGCCTCTATGGTGAACACTGCCAAGAGGGTGCTAATTTGTACCAACAGTGTTGATGGGTTTTGGGATATGGATACTAGTTTAATATGAACACGATTGAGACTACAAAATCATTTCTTATGGTGTAGGTCGCCTAATAGCCAAGAGATGGCTGAGACTTTTGGTCACTACAACTAGGGTCATATTTGATCCAATACATTGCTACAAGAAGTAAAAAACCCAATAGTTTACCATAAATGTTAGCTTCTTGGTTTCCAGGATGAGCAGTGCCAACCTACACACAAAGAAATATATTCAGAATATTATCTATACAAATTATCTTATACTTATACAGCAGTTAGCATAATAGGGCCCTGATTCTGGCTGGAGCTTTTGTGTGCTATCACAGTACATATAATTAATAGTTTAAGCTGTATTAGTCAATTTGCCAATGTCCAAATATTAGCCAGTTAAGACTTATTCAGTATTGTGCATTCTTCAACATGCAGCATGCTTTCAGTGGGCTGTAAAAGATGCATTTTTGCAACATTAACCAAATTCTGCATTCAGTTATGCTAGTATAAATCCAGGGTAACTCAATTCAAGTCACTAGAATTACTCTGGATTTTCATCAGTGCAAATGAGAGCAGAATTTGATTTTTAAGATAACAGATTGTGGTTGCAGTGCTTTTCATCAACTATTAACACAAATCAATGGATGCTTATCTGCAGCTTCCAGGTGCATAAAAGGCACTTGAGAGAAAGAAAAGTGTGATCCAAGCACGAGACTGGGAGCCAGGAACTCCCTAATTCTATTCCTGCTGTGGAACTTATTGCCTGTCTGTAAAACAGGGACAAAATAACCTACCTCCTAAAGATATTGAGAGGATTAATTAATGTTGGTACAATGCTTTCAATGGATAAAACATTACATAATGCTAATTATTACTATTAATATGAATTGCATCCTAGTCACATATTAAAAATTCCACCGTGCAGCTGCTGCATGAAAAGATCCAATCCTGCAACACTCACTGTTAGGAGTTAACTTCAGTGGGTCTATTCGCATGAGGAATGCTTGCAGGATTCAGTCCATGGTTCCTTACGAATACTCACTTATACAGATGTGTAGAGTGGAGTATTTGTATGTACAAATTGGGGCAGTTTTATGTCATTCACAAATGTAGGGCAAAGCTATCTTGCATATTAAGATGCATGAAGAGGCACTTAGAACCACAAATTTCTTTTATCTGGGCAGTCATTAGTGCAATTAAAATATTTTCTTGCTACTGTTCACTGATTTTTAACCTCTGTGAGAATGAACTATTCTTGCTCTCTAAGTGGGTATCTTTCATTTTAACGGTTGCACAGAAAATAATTGCGAGGCATTGGTGAGAAAGTTGGCCAATCCGTAGAGCAATTCCTAGCAGATCTAATGAAAATAATTTCTTATAAGAAAGTTATACGTAAGATGGAGAATTTATGGATGGAATGAAAGAGATAAGAATAAAATTCCTAAAACAAAAAGTTAAAGCCTCATAGAAACGTAAAAACATCTTGTGGTCATTTTTCTGTGTCTGAGTTCATAAGTAAAGTTAATATGGAACGGGTTATAAAACCAGTAAATATATTTTTCTTTAAAGGCAGAAGAGAGATTATTTTCTTATTTTATACTTATTGATACTGATTCTCATTGTATTTATACCAATATAGATCTGGAGTCTCTCCTAAGTCAAAATCAACCTAAGTAAACTGGGGTAAGTGAAATGAGAACTGGACCCACTGTAAAGTGTTGAGTTATAATATGATGTACTGTAGCAGATGGATGATGCAGCCCTCCTGCACATCAGGCTGATGGGGGGGGCATAATGGCTCTCTAACAATATGTCTACACTGCAGTTAAACATCCGTATCAGCTGACTCGGGCTTGTGGGGCTTGGGCTATGGAGCTGTTTAATTGCACTGTAGACGTTTGGGCTCAGGCTGGAGCCCAGGCCTCTGGGACTCCAGGATGGGGGACGGTCCCAGAGGCCCAGCCCGAATGTCTACACCTCAATTTAAAGCAGTGTGGCCTAGTGGATTGAGTGCTGGAGTGAGACTTACGAGACCTGGGTTCTATTCCTGACTCTGCTACTAGCCTGTTGGGTGACCTTGTGCCTCAGTTTCTCCATCTGTAAAATGAGAATAATGATAGTGATCTCCTTGGTAAAGTGCTTTAAGATTCACTGATGAAAAGCATTATATAAGTGCTAGGAGGTATTATTTGGCAGGGAGGGATAGCTCAGTGGTTTGCGCACTGGCCTGCTAAACCCAGGGTTATGAGTTCAGTCCTTGAGGGGGCCATTTAGGGAACTGGGGTAAAAATCTGTCTGGGGATTGGTCCTGCTTTGAGCAGGGAGTTGGACTAGATGACTTCCTGAGGTCCCTTCCAACCCTGATATTCTATGATTCTATGAATTAAATAGCCCAAGCCCTGTGAGCAGAGTCAGCCACCAGTGTTTAACTGCAGTGTAGAAATACCCTGAGGCACAATCCTTTCCCATGTCTCCCATTGCTCACCTACTCAGCCCAGTGACTATATGCCACAATATGGCCTTTAGGAAAGCTCTAGTGTGACTCAGGCCTGTTCACAGTTTATTACGAGAGGTAATTTCTGTGATTTACTAAACAAAAAGCCTCTGAGGTCCTCTAAACCTTAGTGCCACATCAGCTCCCAGACATCCTGGGTGAAATCCCAGCCCCATTGAAGTCAATGGAAGGTTTGCAATTGACTTCAGTGGGGCCAGGATGTCACTCCTTGAGTTTTATGAGGCAATAACAGTTGGCATGTGTGACCCAGGGAACCCCTCAGTGCCAGCTGGCAGAGGGCACACCATAGTGTAACTCACATCAGGCCTGATACACTCGTTGCCCCAACCCACTGTTGTCAATCTGATTCTAAAAGGTGTCTGTAGCGGGGTAGTCACCCGCTCTGGATTGGGAGGGGTTAAAAACAGCCCTGGGAAAGGGCTGCCCCAGGGAGCCAACTATGAGCAGGCTTGAGGCAGCCAATCAGGGCCCAGCTGGGCCAGTATAAGAAGGGCTAAGGGAGGAGCTGAGTCAGTCTCACTACAGCCTTGGAGTGGGAAGGACCTAGCTGCCTCGGAGCAAAGGGTACCTGGGGCAGAACAGTGCTGGGGAAAGCAAGAGGAGCTGGGGAGCTCCAGCCTGGCAACTCCCCAGGCTGAGGTCTTGTTAAAGGCTAAGTAGGTACTGGGGCTGCAGAGGTGCAGCCCAGGGATAGGCAGAGGCAGCTGGTCCAACCTCCTTGCCAGTGATGAGTGGCCCGGCCATTACAGACTGCAGTCTGCCTCAGAGAAAGGGGGCTAGATGATGACTGGCAGTAGCCACTGAGGCAAAGTGGGCAGAGAGGGTTGGGGGGGGGTCCTCTGGGAGGGGACACCCAGAGCATGGGGACTGCTGTGGGGCAGAGCCCCAAGATAAGAGGGCACTGGGGTCTGGGAGGGACACGGGGCCTGAGGCAGGAGAGACACCAGCCAGAAGGGGGCGCTCCGAGGCTGGAACTGAGCTAATTCCCAGACGACCCACAGGAGGCACCGCGGCGGTGAGTGCTCAACTTGTTACAGTGTCACCTAAAGGTGTCGTATGCAAACTGGTATCACGCTGGTCATTAATATTACTGCCTGGTGTAAGTATGGGCAGAGTGTAAAGAATTATAGATGTGCGATAGAAATATCTTCTTCAAATGTGTCTGGCAAGCAGTGCATAAGCCTAGTCTGTTCTAGACAAAGGAATGTTGTTTCACCTGCTTGACTGTCTCTCCAGTGTAAATTGAGCAAGGCGAGGACAGAAACAATGGTACTGCATTTACATATAAGGTAAACAGAGCCACCAAACTAGCAAGTCGGAGAGATGATCACACAATGGAACAATCTTAACAGGGGATGGAGGCTGTACCCTTGAAAGAGAGACCATGGACTTTGGGAAATAAAAGCAGAAACAGAAAGTCATTTGGGCATCCATCATCTGAGGGCAGAACTCTTGAAATAGAGAAAGATGGATCCTTCAAACAAGTGGATTGAAGTCTCTGGGAACTGATTATAGGTGAGAAACCTGCTTAGACAAAGACTGTAACTTGAAGTTAGTTTTAGTCACTAGAAACTGTGGTTTGTTTTGTTTGTAACCTTTCATGTCTCTTTCTCTCTTACCTGAAATCACTCAAACCTGTGTTCTTTGTTAATAAACTGAAAAACAAAACCATCTCAGTGCTGGTTATGAAAGTGAAGCATGAGTCTTCCGCTAACCTAACCGGTTGATGAGGACTCTGTCTCTTTGCAGGCAGCAAACTTAACTTCTGCGACTGTCCAGTGAGAGGGACTGGACACTGCAAGGAGACGTAACTTGGGAATTGGTGTTCACTGTTACCTGCAAGGCAAGGTTTAGACTGGCAGAGTCCTGAAAATTTTGCTCGCAAAGCAGACAAGCTGGTGTGTCCAGGAGCTGGCACACAGCTCGGCAACAGCAAAGCTCACTCTTGCTGAGACAGAACAAGTAACGCACTGGTTCACAGTTCTGGGTGACTTGAGCAAGATGTCATAGCATGTGAATGGAACAATTGGAATGTAAGCCTAAGTAGGGCAAAAGAAGATTTTTTGTTTGTTTGTTTGATGTATGCTCTGCGTGTCCTGGCATTCAAAGAGACTAGACAATTTTATTCTGATTGTGGACTGAGAGGTATTGTACAAGCAGTAAAAGAAATAAAAGTTCCTCCCACCTCGTTTAAAAAAATCAGTAGAAACACATCTTTCCAAGGACAATTCTTATTTTTTTTAAACTCCCTTTGTCTCTAAACTTTGTTCGACTAACAAAATAACAATGTTACAAAGCTTTAAGCCAAAAGTTTACAATGTTGTTTATACCTCTCATGCATTCTACAAGGCATTCATCGTTGAGAATATAAAATACTCTGTTATCTTAAAGTCTTGGTCCTACTTCATCGTGTACATTGGACATATGACATTACCAAGGCAGATGGCAAAGCAGAAGTAGAGATTGAAGAGAGCTAAAACGTGCACAGAGCTATGTTTGTGTCACTTGTTCTCATGGCCATGCACTTACATATATCAATGTAATTTGGTAAAAGCAGGGTCTGTATATAACTTACTGGCATTTTGCAGTGGGGTCTGGGAGAAATTGGGAAAACTGTCTATTCAAAATGTGGAGGAAAATGAATTCAGTAAATAAAGATGATGATAATGATATAGCAACTAAATATTCAGATTTAATAGAAGATGACAGGCAAAGGACCCGCCCACAACACAAAAATCTCCTCATCCTGAATGGATTTTCTGGGTCATATGTTAAGAATGCTCTTGCATGGTGTGGCTCTGCCAGCAGGTGTTGGCCTTTGTGGATGGGGCAAACCCCTTAAATAAGAGTGCTTTCAACATCTGTGGTCAGGAGGTTCTGTCCTATATACGCAAGCTGGAAATCTGCCTGCAAACCTGTGCGATCTGAAACAATTTCAAGGTTTCACCTTACAACCGATTTCAAGAGCTGTGCACTACTGCAATGGCAGCAGGGCCCCACAGACCAACAAATAATCCCTCTAGGTACTTACTCCTTTGATGTGAATTACAGCCCCTGGAGGTCCAGGGGGCCCCGGGGGCCCAGGCAAGCCAGGAGGACCCTGGGAAGGCAAAACAAGGGGGAAAAGACATTTATTAGTTAGAACCTTTCAGACTGCAGTGCCAGCTGACAGAAAAAGGGCATGGGCCAATTTGAACATGGAGCCTTGTGCTAACTGGCCTGAAGGGAGGTTGAGCATTTTCTTGCATGTACAAATTTTTACCTGTAAAAAGAAAATGTGGATTCTAAGATTTGACCCACAATATTTAATAGACAGGAGAATTGCCCAAGGCTTTTGCTTTCAGAACAAACCAACCAACCAACCACAGAATTATATAAAAAAAGCTCCATTTGTTCCCCAGAAAACTCTCTCTTTGGATTATCCAAACTGCTGAGACATATACAATTACAAATTGCATTGTTCAAATGCCATTCAGACAACTGGACATTTAAATGCAGAACATCTGTAACATAAATCCTTGCCCTAAGGAGAGAGATTCTGAACCATTCAGTCATGTAGCCTTTTATGTTATTTAAAGTGAATTTTGTAATGTGGTATTATGCCACCGTGGGTTTGGCTCTGACAGCTACAGTTTTAAGCTTAACAGCGTGAAAGTTACCTTTGCTACTTGCTTTAGAGTTAGAGTTTTTAGGAACACATAAAGACCAAGGGTAGTGACCACACATACATTTACCAGTACAAAGTTTAGTTTAGTTTATAAGTAAGTTCTGATTACCCAAGCATATAGAAATTCTATACAGACCTATGCACAAGTTACAAACATAGTTATACTTACATTCTTAACAATAGTGTTAGGGTTTGATGGGTCTCTCATGCTTGATCATTAGTAGAGGGATGATTCCTGCTGGAGTCTCCCATAGGGAGCTCAATTTTCCCATTTTGGGCATCCCTTTTTATAATGTGATTCTGTTTTTATCTACATTCTGTGCATGTTCATAAAAGTGTCAACCCTCTTTTCTTTTATTGGTCTGTGTTCCCTGGAAACTTAAGTGACCCCAGTTTTCTATAGACTGTGTAAGTTACCTTTGTTTTTATTAGCATTGACGCACAATCTGTATTCCATGGTTTAAAGACACATGTCAGAAACAGAGACACCTTTACAGTATTTTTATGATCTAATAGTAATCTTTTGGGTAATTTTGCACAATATTACCACTAGGTACCCCTTTTTCCATAATTTTAGGGCACTGAGTTATTTTTTGGTCACTGGCTTGAGTTATTACTTCATGTCTCCAAGGCCTAAAATAGCTAAGCTAAAGTCTTGCAGGCCTCAACCTATGGGTTTTTGTGTTTTAGCTTGTCTTACTTATGTCTAATACTTGGTTCCTTTAAATACTGATCAATTTTAGACTTTTATAATCCTACAAATTCATTCTAATTAACATAAAATGAATATATGTAATATCACATATTAATCATAACATTACACAATAAATGAATAATAAACTAAAATCATTGGCTACAGTCCGCACACTACACACTCAGGAACTGCACTATTAACAATGGGCTACTGCACTGACATCAATGGATTTATTCTGGATTTACACCACCATAACTGAATGTGGAATCTAGCCCAACCTATAACATTGAATGCTATATCCATGTGGAGGCCCTGTGTCCATACACTGGGGCTTGGTCTACACTAACCCCTCCACTTCGGACTAAGGTACGCAAATTCAGCTACGTTAATAACGTAGCTGAATTCGAAGTACCTTAGTCCGAAGTTACCGCAGTCCAGACGCGGCAGGAAGGCTCCCCCGTCGATGCTGCGTACTCCGCTCGCCGAGCTGGAGTACCAGCGTCGACGGCGAGCACTTCCGGGATCGATCCAGGGCACTTCCGGGATCGACCCAGGATCGATTTATCGCGTCTTAACCAGACGCGATAAATCGAACTCAGAAAACCGATTGCTTACATCCGGACCCGGATGTAAGTGAAGACGTACCCTTACTGGTCCCTGACGGATCCCCACCCCCAGCTCCCTGCTAGCACTGCTACACTGGAATAACACTCTTCATTAGGGGTCTAAGCAGAGAACATAATACAGGCTGTAAGCAGGGGTACAGAGGGGCATAATGGATGAATGCGGGAAGAGGAGGAGAGGGCAGAGATTCTGAACCTGTCTGCTGCTCTAGCTGACTTCTCTTTCCATCTAAATGAACCACACTTTGATTACGTTGGCTAACACATGAGAACTCAAATTATTTAGAACAGTTGCACCTGGTAATGAGATTCTCTCATCTGATAGAAATGGAACAAATTCATAGAATTTAAAGCCAGAAGGGACTATTAGGTCATGTAGTCTGATCTCCTATATATCACAGGCCATAGAATTTCACCCAGTAACCCCTGTATTGAGCCCATTAACTTATGCTTAGCTAAAGGATGTCTTCCAGAAAGGCATCCAGTCTTGACAAAGATTTCAAGAGATGGAGAATCCAACACTTCCCTTTGGTAGTCTGTTAATCACTCTCACTGTAAGAGATTTGTGCCTAATTTCTAATTTGAATTTGTCTGGCTTCAGCTTCCAGCAACTGGTTCTTGTTTTGCATTTCTTTGCTTGATGAAAAAGCTCTTTAGTACCTGGTATTTTCTCCCCAGGAAGGTACACTAATCAAGTCACTTCTCTGTCTTCTTTTTGACGAGCAAAGACATTAACATAATCTGCCCTCATATCTATTGTGCAGGATTCACACTTGTGATTTCAACCTGGTGCGGAATATTTTTTAAACAAGCCACTCCAGAAGGGCACTTCATAAATACAATAGAACTCATTTAAAATACAGTCAATTGAAATATAACAGATTCCACCAACAGTGTAATGAACCAGGACACTATTTCTGATGTGAACTTAATCATATAAGGTCTTTTGTACAATATTGGTACTGATTTCTCTAGTAAAGCAACAGTGTACTGTGCTGGTGTACACAGAGCTCAGAGTGTGTGTATGTGTGGTGGGACTACCTGCACCTTGTCTTCCCTAATAGCATAGTACTGAAGTAGCTGCACTGTTGTTGGTACTAAAGTAATACATGTACCAGTACTAATTTTTCTAGCATAGACACGTCCTAAAATGGTACAAGAACTCTGATACGAATTACTATGCCAGATGTTGTATGGAAATGGAAAATGCTATTCTGGAACTTTTACTTAAGCTGAGTAGCACTTGCTGACAGACTACTTGCACGAGTGCTACCCAGTGTCAATCAGGATTGCAGAATCAGGATTTTTGTTTATCAAGCTCAAAAGCATTTTTGAATTCAACAACTGTAGAATATTTAGCATGCAAATCCTATAGGGCTCAATCCTGCACACACTTATTATCTGTGTAGTGTTTGTAGTGTCCCCCCGACAACTTGTGGTAGCAAGCACTACCAGGTAGGAAGTGTTTGAAAGATGAAGCCCAAGATGGGCCTAACTGAGCCACACTTACTTACTATGAGTAGCACTTACGTGAGTATCTCACTGAAGTCAATAGAACTACTCACACAAGTACGTACTGCTCAACTGGAGTTAGGATTACAGAAATTGTGGCTGAATTATTATTATTTATCAGGAGAAACAGAATGATCATGTTAGCATTTCTAGGTATTGCAAGCTGTTTTTATTCCTAGAATAGATTCATATCTATTAGCCTCGACACGGGATTATATTCTTGTTTACAATGAATTTCAGTACCACTGCAGAACTTACATATAATGTTACACCCCGTTCACCTTTTACACCTTTCAGTCCATTCAATCCTGGGCGGCCCTGAAATGAAGAGAAATATTTTAGTGTCTGTACAGAAGTAAACTGCTATTTTTATTCCATCTGAAAGACCCTAACACGTACAGGTCGTCCAGGAATACCAAGTTCTCCCTTAGGTCCAGAAGGTCCTACTGGTCCCTGGAGAGAAAATAGAAAGAGCGTGATTAGCTGAGAAAAGGAGCAAAATGTAAAATTTTCTATATTGAACATGATAGTGACTCATGTTTTGGTTATTTTGAAAGCACATCGATGTGTTTTTAAAAGAGGTTCCCTGTCTGCAGACTAATTCCTTTCAGCAACTATTCTGAGAGTACAGATGTGAAGCAGATAGGCCTGCATATAAAAACGGAACCCCAAGATTGTGATCTTTGGAGGACAAGGTTCTTTGCTCTCACTGTCAAAGTCTAAATTTCACCCAGATTTTGTGTGTCCAAAATGTTCAAAGCTGAGCTGCCAAGTACCAAAGTATAAAGGGGAACTTATAAGCATCGGTCTATAGAACAGGAACTAAAAGAACAGGAGTACTTGTGGCACCTTAGAGACTATGGCCTGGTCTACACTACCCCCCCACTTCGGACTAAGGTACGCAAATTCAGCTACGTTAATAACGTAGCTGAATTCGAAGTACCTTAGTCCGAACTTACCGTGGGTCCAGACGCGGCAGGAAGGCTCCCCCGTCGATGCCGCGTACTCCACTCGCCGAGTTGGAGTACCGGCGTCGACGGCGAGCACTTCCGGGATCGATCCGGGGCACTTCCGGGATCGATTTATCGCGTCTTAACCAGACGCGATAAATCGATCCCAGAACATCGATTGCCTGCCGCCGGACCCTCCGGTAAGTGTAGACGTACCCTAACAAATTTAGTCTCTAAGGTGCCACAAGTACTCCTGTTCTTTTTGCGGATACAGACTAACACGGCTGCTACTCTAAGAAGAGGAACTGTCTCTCTCTGCCTGAGTGAATGTGTGATTGGTCTTTTCCTATGATTTCTATGCCAACTTTCTGCTAGTCTTGCATTTTTTAAATTATTTTTGAGTGGGGACTTTTTAGAGTGATTAAAAAAATGTCTAGACTGACCTCAAATGTCTCAAAAAAACCCATAGACCTCGTGACTGGATATATTTTTCGATCTGTGGACTTTCCAAGTGCAAAACTACTGGAATGGGGGGAATCTTTGTTTACATAAAGGTGACCTAATTGGACCCCAGTGACCATGGCTGCTGGTGATTGCTGAACACTGGCCAGGTGATGTCATCATGCCTGACAAAGAAACCCATGCTTCCTCCACACTCCCAGCTGTAGGAGTCCAGCAACATGCAACTTCTAAGTGTCAACTTCCACAAGTAAAAACCTCTAGCCAGCAACAAGTCCATCCACATAAAACAGCAGAGTTGAGAAGACCACAGGCTAACCTTTTCCACCAGGCTGAATGAAACCTCAAGAGTAACCACCACCATTCTGTATATGTAGCAACTTTTGGATTTTCTTTTCTTTTCCAATTTGTATTAGCAGAAGGACACCTCTGCCTTAGCATTCGTGCAAATGTTTTTAACTCCAGCAAGTGGCTGGTAGTGAGTGAGTGTGTGTGTTTGAGTGCAAAAGTGTGTGTGTGTGTGTGTGTGGACAGAACCCACAGAATCTGAGAATGGTGCTGTGATGGCCCCGGGGTGCCATCTGGAACTGAGATACAGTTGAGCTCTCTCTCTCACCAATCTGGGTTCCCTCTTGCACTGTGACATTGTGACAAGCTGCAAAGCCCTCCAAGCTTGCACTCACACCAACATCCATAGCCAGGGGCCACACCCAGCTGTGTTCATAAATGCTCTGGCCAGCCACTCATGAACCCACATAGAGAAACTACAACCAAAATACTCTCAGCTCCCTAGCCTAAGACCCCAGAGTTATACTGTCCTGCCCTGGTCAAAACCCGACCAATATGAATTTATTACCCAGTCCGCCACTTCTACAAAGGAAAGTGGACGTGCACCAACTCTTGTTCATGAGCTGAGATTTATCCCCTGTGCACTTCAAACAACACTTCAAACAGTGTTTTAGGTAAAATATAAAATAGATTTATTAACTGCAGAAAGATAGCTCTTAAGTGATAGCAAACAGGTCAAAGTAGATTACCATAAGAAATAAAACAAAACCACAATCTAAGCCTAATGTACTAGTTAGTATTTGAATCAAGCAGTGTCTCACCCAGTTAGATAGTACAAGCAGGTTAGCTTTTACATACACAGGCAGGCTTCTTTCTTTCCTGTCTGGGACCAACACTTCCCACCCAGTTCAGTCTTTTTCCTCCGATACTTTCAGGTGTGTTGTTGTAGGAAGAGTGAGGTACCATCATGATGTCATTTCCCCCCTTTATATCTTCTTCCCACTTGCTGGAAAGCTCTTTTGCTGTGACTTGGGTCAAAAAGTTAACATTGTGTAGTGCTATCTCTGAAAGGTTTCTATTGTACACAGTTCCTGGGGTAATCCTTGGGATTGTGTATATTTCCTCAATAAGCCATTAACATTGTTTGGCCTTTTTATTGTTGTACCTGAATGGCTGCTTATGGGTGTTCTCAACCTCACAACATGTTTCAGTAGCACATACATAGCCAAACTTCATAGCTTCACATACGACAACAGCACATACAATCCAACGAGATATTAATGTCTAACAGATCAAGACTGTTAGAATGATATCTCACAAGGCATACTTTGTACAAAATATATCATAATTATATGACAGTGGTGAATATGGGGTGCCACAGGTACCTCGAGAGTAGTTCCTCCAATACCTAACAGCCCTACATTAACAACTGTGCTATCTAAAGATCACACAGGCTTATATATCATGCATTAGGGGTTGTCGCCAAAAATAAAAAATATAATCACCCATTCATCCAGACCACCTTACCAGTTTTAGACAAATTTTCTAAATTCCTGTTGCCGAGCCCCTCTTCCTTAGCTAATTTAAATAATAATTAGGAATGTATCCCTAAAAATATCAAAGGACTATTTGTTGTGGGGAAGAGCCAGGATCATTCAATATCAACAGTTGCTCCTGGGTCCTGATTTGAAATCATACCAAGAGGTATGTAATAATATAAAGATCCCACATTTTCAGTATTTACAAGTCAAACATTTTATTGTGGAATCTGGATATGAGGCAGCTCTTTCTAGACATTTAGCCACATTGGAAGAGGAACAAGCTGGAACAAAGGGTTTAATTTCTGAGATACATACAAATTTGACTGACAAAGATGTTAGGAAAACAACCCAGATGAAAAGATGGGAGAGGGATTTGGACAAAGAAATTGATCTGGATAAGAGTGTCTCCATATAGGAAATGGGATATACATCTTCGATTTGTGTGGCCCATAAGGAATGTTTTTATAAACTACTGTATAGATGACAACTGACTCCAGCTAAGCACCATCATATTTGTGCTATGAGAGAGGTGCTCTTATGGAGGAGTAGCATGGAAAGATACTTGCACATGTGTGATTGCACTCAAGAATTAGATGGTTTTGGGAGGAAATTATTAAAGAGATTCATTGTATGACAAAATGCTGGCTGGTTTCCTAGAGATCCCTGACCTGCTTGCTTAATGCTCCAGTAAAGGATCTGCATTTTAAAGAGAACAACAAATTCATTTCTTTTTATTGTTAGCAGCTAGACTTCATGTTGGAAAAATGTGACTCTTCCTCCTATGGAATTGTGGTACAGTCCTTGCAATGGAAAAGCTTTCACATAAAGTACGTACACAAGAGATGCACCAAAAAGAGGATAGGTACTTATAAATTTGGTCACCCTTTCTAGCAAACTCAGAGGAGGACTCCCCAGCCAGCAAGCCAGAATCTTTAGCCAGGTTCTTTGAAAATTAACCTGATCCTGAATAAGAAATATATGACATACCATGTTAATATTGTATTGTAACTTTGCCTTAATACAAGTTTCAAAAGGAGTTATATGTTTAATCTTTAATCTTCACCTAAATTTGTCATTTGTATTTTAAATGTAACGAGTGGTGTCATCTTGAATGTTTCTTTTATCACTTTTTATTGTGGGATAAGGAGACTAGCTATTTCCTAACCACCAGTAATTTGGGCAGGCTGCCTTAATTGGAATCAGAGCTGTAGTCTCAAAATTAGCTTCAGTCAGCGAGTGATTTGACACTCCCCACCCCCACACTCTGTATCACATATTTTGTTGGAACATAAATATATAAAATGGCACTGAAATTGACAATGTTCTGTTACTCTGGGGGCTGATAGCTAAAAAGATCACTGTCTTCTCAAGTTACATAGAGCGTGTAAGGAATTGTTGGTTTATTTGAGGTGGTTTAACCAATCTCATAATTTGATGATTCTAGAAACCCACCTTATTCAAATTTGATTTGTTCATATGTAATTTATATTATGTTTTTGTTTAGCTGTTCAGGCAATAAAATAGGTAAAATTAGAAACCTGTGTAGTCTGGATGTTTTTTCCTCTGATGTCAGGGTTCAGAACCAATGGGCCACCTAGTGGTGGTTTGTAGAACTGCTCTATACTCCTCCAATAACTGGTGCTCAGGTAGGAACACTGTTGGGTTTTGAGGGAAAGTTGACTTCTGTATATTGATCCCTTCTTTGAGTGAGCAATGTAGACTCCAGAATCAGTGGGAGTCTGGGGTGATGCATAGCACTGGTCAACCTAAAGGCTGACCTTTTCCACGCAACAATGTCTATACTGCTTGCACAGAACAGACAGATTCAGACGAAGACTTTCAGCAGCTTTTCTGCATACTGAATGATTTAAGAGTGTCACTCTTCATTGAGTGTCACCACGTCAAACCCAAGAATATTATTTTTCTTTGAGGCAGTAACTCTCAATATTGCCTGGGCAAAACAGTCAGTGCTGTACACTGTATGTAGTGTTAGAATTTTCTATTACAAAAATTAAATGGGTTTTTGATATCATTTCATCCTGACGTCAGTTTTGTAGGAACCAAAAATGCTCCTACAAAATGCTCGATTAGATGGTTGTTTACATTGCAGTGCCCAAAGACTCCAACAGGGATTACTCTCCACTGTGTTAGGCACTGTACAAACACAATCTGCATCCATGTTTTTGTTCTGCACCCGACACAGAGGTTGCAAAGG